ACAGAGCTTAACCGTAGTAGATGTCGAGCCTCTGATATAAAGTTGATGATGAGGGCGTCTTGCTCACCACGCTACCTAGCCTGAGCAGCGACCGCCGCAAGGTCGAGCCTCTCTATCACAGAAATCTTTTCTTGCAGGATAGAAACACCAGCCATGGAGAAGCAGAATGAAGCTACAGGCCACCGCGTCGAGGCGACGACCTCCGCCTTGGACGACGAGAAGAACAACGCCCTCGCACACCGCCACGCGAAGGAGGTCAATGTCCAGTCCGTCGCCCTCGCCGACGCTATTGCCAAAGACAAACCCGACTACAAGTCCAAGTCGCAGATGACGCTCTACGCGATGATGTGTCTCTGCGTTCTGAGTACGTCTCTCAAGCCCCATCCAAACCTCCCTTTTCATAAGACGTGATGACTCTGTAAAAAGATCAAAGACATCCCTTAGCTGACAATCTCCAACTCCACAAAAGACGGCATCATGAACGGCTACGACGGCTCCGTAATGTCCGCCATCAACGCAATGGACCCCTTTCAAGCCCGTTTCCGCATCGGCCTCACAGGCGAGCTCAACGGCGCCGTCTTCTCCATCTACACCGTCGGCAGCATCATCGGCAGCCTGCTGTGCGGGTACATCATGGACCGCTGGGGCCGCCGCGCCTGCATGTTCTCCGGCGCGTCCATGATCGTGCTGGGCTCCGTGCTGCAGGCGAGCAGCTTCCGGCTGCCGCAGTTCTTTATAGGCAGGTTTATCGTCGGTACGGGGACGCCCATGTGCGGGACGTCGGCGCCCGTGTTCTTGGTGGAGATTGCGTATCCTACGTGGAGGGGGTTGGCTGGGGGGTTGTATAATGTTTTGGGGTGGTATATTGGTGCCAATAGTGAGTTTTCCTTTTTTTTCTTTTGGTTTGCTTTCACTTGGATGGATGTCCTTGACAGGAAGCTGACTGTGAGTGAGTGGCCGCGTGGACATGCTACGGCACAAACTTCATCCCCAGCGACTGGGCGTGGCGCATCCCCTACATCGTCCAGCTCGTCCCGGCCACCATTGTCATCTCCGTCGTCTGGTTCCTGCCGGAGAGCCCGCGCTGGCTCTGGTCGCAAGGCCATACGGACCGCGCGGCGGCGATTCTGACAAAGTATCACGGCGACGGGGACCCGCACTCGGCGCTCGTCAAGCTCGAGCTCGACGAGATACGGACGTCGCTGGAGGCCGAGCAGGAGCTGAGGAATAATAACTGGAACTATAAGGTTCTCGTCAACAATCGGCCGAACCGGTACCGCATGTGGCTCATCATGCTTGTTGCCGTGTTTTCACAGTTTATCGGGGGATCGGTGATTTCGTACTATTTACCTGCGTGAGTAACACATTTCCAGCACGAAGCAGAGTGGTACATGGACTGATTATGCATTTTTACAGTATGGTGCGCGGGGTTGGCATCACGGACTCGAGCCGACAACTCCTTCTCAACGGGATCAACACCGTCATATCCTTCGTCAGCGGCATCTTCGGCTCCTTCTTCGTCGACAAGGTCGGTCGCAGACCGCTGTTCCTCTGGGGCACCCTGCTCACGGGGCTCGTCTACATCCCCATCAACGTCCTCGCCGCGAAAGCAGAGCACCACCTAGACGAAGGCACCGCGGTGCCCAAGCCGCAGGCCTACGCCTTCATCGCCATGATCTTCTCGTACGGCATCTTTTGGGGCTTCTGCTGGACGCCGCTGCAGGCGCTGTACCCCGCCGAAATATTGAACAACGAGATCCGAGCCAAGGGGATGGGCGCCAAGGGGTTCATCTCTGGCGTTGCGAGCTTTATCAATACGTACGGGACGTCTGTGTCGATTAAGCATATCGGGTGGAAGACGTATACGATTTTCTTGGTGTTGCATTTTGTGCATCTCGGGTTGATGTACATGTCTTGCGTTGAGACCAAGGAGAGGACGTTGGAGGAGCTGGAGGAGATTTTCAGTGATGCGAAGCCGGTGAAGAGGAGTTTGCAGAAGACTACTGTTGTTGTTGATCGTGGGTTGGGAGTCAAGATCAAGGACGATGCTTGAGTGCCGGGTTTCCTTTTTGGACTACCTGAAGATCGGTACCCTAGCTTGGGATTAATCATTGCTAGGACTATACGCGTAGGACAAAAGGCCGAGGGGTTTCATGACTTCCTGTTATGGAGCGTTAGTCGAGAAGTGAGGAAGGACCGACCTGATGGTCTGAAGATTCTACAGAAATCAAAACTTGGAAAGAAAGTTAACAAGACCGGACCGATCGAGGGGTGAACATGGATCTAGGAATAGACCGGAGACTTCACGGTCTAGTCGGGGCCTCTACAGCCCAGAACCCCTCGGCCATGCGGCCTGATCTTGTTGAGAACCAGAAATGATTCACTCTTCATAAAGGTTGGTGACGTTGAATGAGGAAGTTATACCTCAGGCAGCTTCCGCCATCTACTTATTCATCTCATGTATATTCAAGAAATCACAAGATCACAAGAAGCGGAAGTCATTGAGGAGGCTCATATAATAGCTCTTCTCCGCTTCATCCAGTGATTCATATGACATCTCAACGCAGTATCCCATATGTAGTCAAGCGACTCAAGCCTATTCATGCGGAACCACACTATACATACGAGAGAACCTGTCTGATTGTAGGGTCTCCAAGGTCCTTAGCCCGATTCACCTTCTCCCTCCTTTAGCGCACTCTTGTTCGAGACTGAGGACTACTAAAGGCGTGGTACGCACAGCGACTTTGAAGACTCTAAGCATCGAAACAACTCAGTTTAGAAGGTAGTATGTGGACGGATAGACAGCAATTGAATAACACCTGAAGCAAGAAATTTCACAAGAGATCGCCCTGTTTCAATTTGGTAGAGTCAAGACTCGCCTTGGCCCATCTGACCTTTACGGCACGGGTCATGGAGGCATACAAACTGCAGGGCGAAATCGACAGCTGACAGTTTTGCGCGTGTGAAAACGCCTTGACAGCTCTTAGAGAGCCTTCCAGGGTCGGTGTGGGCTTGTTCACGCGACCGCAGTCTTGAGATGCGTTCTTCGTAGAGCTGGGGTGAATTGTGAATTGACTTCTTTGGCTGCTCGGTACCGGGGTCACGTGTGAAGGTCGGTTTCGGATGTGACTCTTAGACCAAGTTAAAATTTGATAGGACAAGGGCATATATGATTCTCTAGATCGCAGGCAGCTAATTTGGAAGGTCATTACTTGACTCGGGCTGGTCGTGTGCCTGAGTCGCTGAAGCCTACGAGGTTGGATGTGCCTAGTAATAAAGTAAGGTTCTAAGTCGTCCCATACTTGATATTTTCCCACGTGGCTCTGCGCATTGACTGAGCTCTCAATGGCCAAGATTCGCCGAGATGGAGTTCCCCGAGGCCGATAATTTAAAAGCTGCCATGAGTCGTAGTTGCCCGGCACTCGGTTGCCTAAAAAGAGAAGGAAAGGAAAAGAAAGTGGTGGATATTAAGCTTCATTCTGATACAGCCAGATTTTCGTATCAATCACTTTCATTCCATTTACGCGGATTCCACGGACAATGGCATCCCACAATATGCTGTGCGATGAAGCCTTGTCAAGGAGAGATTTATATTTCACAGTTAGTCTGACCTACATCCCTAATCCCGGTCTTCATATTCACGAACAAATTGAGGGCATGGATTGAAGAGGATTGATTTTTAGAGACTCTTAGGTACTTAATGAGGAAACCAGTTCCTTGGCTTGTGTCAAACTTGCCATACCAATGTCTTGCCGCTTCTCGATTCACTCCTTCCAAAACGAACCTACCATAAACGCCTTTGATTCCAGAGCTTCATCAGCCCCGAAACAAAATGCAATTCTCCTCAATCTCTTCGATACTGGCGCTAGCCACAGTCGCCACAGCTATCCCCGCAAGCGATGGGTGCCGCATGACGGAGGGCGTCAAGACCACCTGTGTCATGTCGAGCAACCGCATGGCCTGCGACTGGCCGGCGTCATGCCCGGTTGGCCAGAGGGTCAAGTTCGTCGACAACGCGCCGCAGTGCAAGGGTAAGGATTGGGGTACGCCTTGCACTGGATACTGGAAGTGTTGCCCTCGGTAAATGTCTTTGTTGGACTGAAGTTGGGAAGAGTGAAAGGTAATTCTCAAAAAGAGAAACTTTGCGCGTGTACTTTTGCAACGCCCGACTAACAATCAGCCTAGTATACCCTGCATATATGAGGATTTGGTGTCTGAGGTTCTGTGATTATAGATCCGGGCTTTCAGTGGGAGAAGTTGGTGCTGGCTTAGCCACCAATGCATTGAGTCAACAGGGGCTGTCGTCCATAAGCTATCACAAAGAAAGATGTTTATATCGTGTGAGCCCTAGTTTCTGCCGTAGTGTTTCAAGTCTACGAAGGCACAAGGGAATGACGGAAATTGTCGTCAAATATGAAATCTGCAAATTTCCACCAAGAAAAATATTGATATCCCTGGAGTTTACTGACTTAGAGCCAATTGTGAGACTTTAAGGTACGTCGTTGCTGAAATCTTTTGCTAAGAAAACTCCGTTGCAACCTTTCACTCACTATCACCACCATTTTCCGGCCGAAACGTCACACCTCAGTGGCTATGACGGAGAGTGTGTCAACTATTGTGGAATTCGAAAGACTTCATTTACCATTAAGACGCGCTAGGATATGTGGCAAAGAAAATTAGCTTGTATGGGTTGATATTATGTTGCTATGCTGAGCTGCCACTCGTACCGAACAGCCCCCAATTCTCTCCGAGGCGAGGGGCTGGTATGACGCACGAATCTCAAGCTCAATCAGTTACCCGAGATGCTGACGATGGTAAACCGTGGTGTTGTCGGTGCGCCACGCGACCGAGGCGCGTAAAACAAGCGACATTGCCCTTGATGCCTAGGTATCTTCGCTGCAAAGCAAATTGAGGTCTTATCCAGGGCTGCGGCAATGAGTATCGATCACGAGGAATTTCGGGGTCACTCCCTCCTCAAGTTCTCCAACTATAGAACCCACTCAGGTGCATTTTCTTAACATAATCGTCTTCCTATGATCCGGTTCGATCATGTCGCCTCTCACGATATTCTTATACCGCTCCATGACACCTTCTGGCATTCGAATATCGTATTCCAAAAGAAGTCTTGCAATGAGCATCTTAATCTCTGTAGCAGCAAAAAAGCGGCCTGGACACGCGTGGCGGCCAAAGCCAAAGGCCATGTTCTCCTTGGTCGATGACACGAATTGAAACTGTTCCTTGTTTGCATGCTGTAACGGATCGCTGCGGGCCTCGCTGCGGATGGACACGAAGCGGTAGGGATCGACTTGGGTTGATTCAGTGTAGTAAAGATTGTCTTGTATTGGGCCGACCATGGGCACCGCGATGTTGGTGCCAGGTAGGAGCTGAGTGCCATCTTTAAGCGTCACTGGTTTTGTGATAGTTCGCATGAAGCTGATTAAGCTGGCGGGATTGAAACGTTGGAACTCGCGTAAGACTGAGTCGAGCAGCTTCATCTGGAAGAGGGCGCTAGTTGACCATTCGTTCTCATTGGCGGCTAGAACAGATTGGACCTCTTTTCGGAGAGCGGGAATGACATCGGGACATCGTGCAGCAATGTCATACAACCTTTCGTCCGGTCAGTCTGATGAGCCACGTCGCCTCCTCGAACATTTTATGGCCTGGGGTGACCTACGTATGCGTGGCTGCCATTGTGGTGGTGTGGATAGCAACGATGCTCAAGCTGAGCTACGTTTCGGCGAGCTGCTCATTCTTGCCCATGCCAAATTTGCTAGATTTGACAATGAACCATTGCAGCAAGTCCCCTGGTACCTCGGTAACTTCTTTGTACAACCTTTTGCGTGCTTCAATGACTGGGATCAGGACTTGGGCAGCGCGGCGTCTATGTTCAGCCAACTTCTTAATCTCAGGGACATATTGTCTGCCGATGAAGCGCAAGAACTTTGGCCACTGCCTAAAGAGGTCGACGACAAACATAGTGCTGGCCTCTAGATACTCTTCTTTATAGCAAAGCTCGGGGCCAATGAAGACGCGGCCGGAGAAGATAGCTACCATTTTTAGTAGTTTCTCATAGAGTACTACTATTAATAGGTATATAACGCAGGGAAGAAGCTCACAGGGGCTAACTGCTATTAGGGTCTAAAAAATAAATTACTAAAATCTACCCTTTCCTTAAGGTATACTACTAGCGCTCTATATATACCTAAGCTACTCCTTTATTACTTAGTCCCCTTTTTTATACCCCTTAAGCTATTTTTTAACTAATAAAGCTTAATTAGTAAGGCTTAATAGGGTACTCTTTTTCTTAATATTACGACTTAATATACATAACTAAGACTAGGGCCCGCCCCGCAGGCTTATAGTAGCTATAATATACTATATATATAAAAATACGGGAATATAGGGCGACTCTTATAAAATAAAAGAACTATAAATAAGTTATATATAGATAAGAAATAATAATTACGTAATAAGGTAATTACTATAATTACTCTAAGTAATTACTTATTAATATTTACTAAGTAATTACTTAACGAATAAAAGTAATTATTAATAAAGGATATGTTTATAAGTAAATTTATATATAGTATAAACTTAAGCCGGGCTTAAGGATAGACTTTTTATAACTTCTTTAATAATTAACTTAGTATTAGATCTTATAATCGCTTTTAGCTATTTTTAATAAAAAACCCTTTTAATAAGCTTACGATTAATTACTAAAGCCTTACTTACTTTACGACTTATAAATATAACTTTAAAAAAGCTATTTACGATTATAATATTATTTACTTAGTACTCGTAGCCTTAACTTTTATTAATATACTTATTATAACTAGCTAATTATAATACTTTAATTACTTTTATTTAATAAGTTTATTCTATAAAAAACTAACTAAATAATATAAATATATTAATTATTAATAATAATAATACGGCGCAGCTTATTAAGGTAGCTATACTTACTATTTAATAATTATATAATATAATACTTAAACTTAAAAATAAAAATAAATAACTTTATACTTAGCTTATAGTACTCCGACCTCTTTTAATACTTAAAGCTAAGTACTCTAAACTAGAACTCTATAATAGGTCCCCGGATATTCTTTAAGGATTTTTTATTTAAACTAAGGCTTATTTATACTATTACGGGACCTTTTTTATTATTAAAATAGATAAGGTTTATTACGTAGTTTTATTTTTTAAAAAGGATACCCTCGCTTAGTTCGAACTTTTTATAAAAGATTACTTTAAAAACGAACGTAATATTTAAAATAAAAATATTAAAAAGATTTTTAATAACTATAACGAGTTTAAAAAAAAACTTAAAAAAACCTTCAGTAACCCTAATAAAAAACGAATTACTAAACGAAGGCTTATAACCCTTATATAAAAGGGATTAGTTAATAAGTATATATCTAAATTTAGGTAAATTACCTCTAAGCTCGATTAGGGTAATAAAGTACTTATAATAGCCTTTTATTATAGCCTAAAAAAAGAAGTTAAGGATAACCTCTCTTATTAAGACCGACTTAATAAGCTCTATAATTATATTAATATAATTATTAAAATTAATAATCGACTTTACGAACGATGCTTTAAATAAAAAGGATAAAATACCTAAAATAACTAAGCTAAACTTAATAATAAACGTAAATATAGATTAATAACTATTATAATAGGGTATTATAGCGGACTAATAAACCTTAGTATTATTAAAAGGGAATAACCTCGCTAAAAAAAGGACTTTAAGTATTATAACTACGATAAACTAAGATATATAGTTAGAGATTATTAATAACTTAAGCGTATTTAATACTAACCTATTCTAAAAAAGCGAGCTAATATTATAAGTAAAAAAGTTCTTTACGAATAACTCTTATAAATAGCCTACTATAATAACGGCTACTTTACTTATTAAAATAGTAAAGAATAAATAAGATAGTACTCTAAATAACTTAAGAATAATAAATAATTTACCTTATTACTTATTAAAACCCTAGTAGTAATAATAAAAAAAAAAGAGATACTTACCTATCGACCCTATATTCTTAAAAAGAATAATATTAAATACTTTATTATATTCTCTTAAATTTATAAAAATATAAAAAAAAAGGGCAAAACGGACCCTATTACGAAAAATATGCTTAACCTCTTTAAAGGACGAATTAAATAAAAACTCCTAGTTAATATAAAAAAATAGCTCTTTAAGCTTAAAAAAAGAGGACCTAATACGAAAAGAATTATAAGTAGCCTCGTATATATAGCGCAACGAAATAATATAAATTAAAAATAACTTATTAAGTTTTAAAAAGAACTTAATTTAAATAAAATACTAACTAAGTCTATTTATATAATACGACGAGTAAATATTAATAAAAAATTTATTTATAAAATTAAGGAATAGTTTAAGAACCTCGTATACGAAAATAAGATCGAAGTACTTAAAAAACCGACTCTTAACTTCGGAATTATTAATAAAAAAAGAATCGATTTTAAAATTAAAAAAGAAAATATTAAAATAAGAACTAGCTCCTTTTATTTTAATAAAATAAAATTACTCTATAATTCGGATAAACCTCGTAATATTACTTAACGACGTACTTAAATAGAGATCGATTATAAAGCACTACTTAGCGTTAATAATATTAGTTTTAAAAAAAACGACGACGAACTACGATATAAGTATATTTATCTATTCGAGGATAACTAAATTATTTAGTTTTATAGAACTAAAAAATATAAAAAGGTTATAATAACCCCCTATATGGATAGAGATTACTCTTTACTTAACCCTAAAGACCCCTTTTATAAAGAATTATTTTAAATAGAATACCTAGATAATAAATACCTTTAGTACCTTATATATAAATAAGATAGTCGCTTTTATTTATAAAGACGTAATAATAAGCTTATTAAGGATATTTATATAAAAGACTAACTACTTAGCTAAATATTACTAAGCTTTAATAATAATGATAAAATAATATTCGGACCAAACCTTAACTTCTTTATAAAATACCTTAATAATAAATATATAAAATAAAAGGATTATAAATACGATTAATATTAAGTCTATTATATTAAAAAAATAAAAATATAAAGAGAATAATAAAAACTATACGAGTAAGGCGCTCGATAGAAAAAGCGTATATTAAAAAACTAAAAAAGCTAATTATAAAAGAATAATAAAAAGTAAAAATAAAAAAAAAGTTCCTATATATAACTAAATAATATAACGACGTATACTTACGAATTAACCTCGATATTTATAAATAAGGATTAAACGCTATTATTAATAGTAATATATAAAAAAGTTATATTTTACTAAGAATAGTAAATAAACTTAACTTATTATAAGTATAGAAAAATAACTTATATTAACTATAAATAGTAAAAAGAGAACGAGTTAACTATAATTATAAATATATTAATTAAGAGACCGTATACTTCTTAATATATATTAATAATTAATAAAAATAATTATAATATAATATTATAGAAATCGGAAATATTAATATTATCTTAAGGATCTCGTAGTTATAAAAATATAACTTATGGATAGATTAGATTACTAACTAGGTCCTCTAAGAAAATCTAGTTACTAAACGACCTAAAAAAAAGGGTTTAAACGGATTTTTAAGAACTCCTAAAAAACGAGAATAAATATAATATATAATTTTTATTAAAATAGTAAAAAGCTTTAGAAAGTTTATAACTAGTATTAATAATCGAGGATCATAACGACTTTAGACTATACTTAAGGAGTACTAAATATATATAAAACTATTTATAAAACCTAAAAAAATAGGATTACTAAAATATAATAATTAAAATATAAAAATCGAGCTTAAAGAAGGGACATAACCTAGGTTCTATTTAATATACTTAATAAATTAAAAAAAATAAGAGTACTTTAACGAATATATTAATAAGAAACTTAAGAAGGGATATATTTAACTATTAAATTCTCTTATTAGATTCCCTTTATTTTTTATACTAAAAAAGGGCGGAAAATTAAGACTTATTATTAACTATAAAAAACTTAACGAAATTATGAAAAAGAATTACTACCCCTTACTACTTATTACTAAGTTTAGAAATCTATTTTATAGAGCTAATTAGTTTACTATTATAAATCTTAAAAAAATATTTAATTAAATTCGAATTAAAAAAAGAGACGAGTAAAAAATAGTATTCTAAATTCGTAAAGGACTCTTTAAGTATCTCGTTATACCCTTCGGACTTACTAATACTCCGGTAACTTTTTAAATAATAATTAACTATATACTCCGGGAGTACGTTAATATTTTTATTATTATTTATATTAATAATATTCTTATCTTCTCCCCCGACTTTAAAATATATAAAAAACATATTTATATAGTATTTTAAAAGCTTTAAAATACTAAGCTATATACCGAACTTTTTAAATACGAATTTTATATATAAAAAGTAAACTTTTTTAAATATACTATTATACTAAGATAAATCTATATATAAGTATTAAAAGTAAAAGTAGTTAAGGACTAGCCTATACTATAAAACGTTAAAAATATATAAGGATTCTTAGAATTTATTAATTTTTATTAATAATTCCTTAAGGACTATATTAATATAGTTAGACCCCTTAATAACTTAATATAAAAGGATACCCCCTTTATTTAAGATTCTAAGTATAAAGAAGTATTTATTAAAGTTAAAAATATAGTCGTTTCTAAACTAGTTATTATAATCTTAGACCCTTAAAAACTTTTTAAAATTAAGATTAATACTTTAGACTTTATTATAAGAGCGGTCTTAGGATAATAAAATAAATAAGGAAAACTTTACTTATATTATTTTTATTCTAAAGTATTTTATAGAGCAGAATTAAATTAATAAATTTATAATAAAGAACTAATAATAATTATCGAAGTATTTTAAGAATAGAAACTATAGTTATTTAGAACTAAGTACGAAGTTATAATCTATATAAATTATAAGAACCTCGTAAACTTTATAATAAATAAAAATCTAAATAAATAATAAGTTAGATAGAGCGAATTCCTATC